ATAAGTTAGAGTCTCCTAAACTACAGGACTCATTCCATCAGTGGAATAAAAATCATGTCAAGATGGTAATATGTAATCAGTTCTTGATTCTGCATTTGCACAAGTGTCTGACAGGACAGCAGGACCCCCCCAGAGTAACAAGCATACAATGAAAGCAGAACCTCTGAGAACACAGCACATGAAAACTTCAGATGACCCAGTGTATAAATATGAACCAAAAATGGTCTGTTACTGATGCACTCTTTACAGTTGGCTAAAATGAGTCTGAGTATAACATAAAGGACAAAGATCGTGTGTAAAATATTCCATATATGGTGAGAACAGAGGAGACAATACAAAAACATAAAAAGGTAATTGCTTCTAAGAGAAAAAGAACAAAGGAAGGACAGAGTGAGCAGAACTGATCCAGCATGATCATCATGCACACCACATCAGCCTATTTATCTATCCAAGTCCTCCTTTACCCTCAGTGGAGAAAAAGAAATGTTTTTTGGTTTGCCACCCACCATATTTTGCCAACGCAACTCAACAATCATACATAAAACATTTTATTTTGCTATCTCACTGCGTGAAGGAACAGTGCGTGTATGGGTGCATGTTTTCTGCTTCAGCCTTCCTATACAGGCAGACTGATAAATGCAGCGCTGAGTCTGAGTAAACTCAGAGACAAGGACAGCCTGAGCATAATACGTAGTGTTTCCTGTCAGGGGCTATTATTTTGACTGATTATGTATGTGAATAAGAGTCCATGAGACTGATTAGCGCTGTACATCTGTATCGGCATTTATGCTTTGTTCAAAACCTTGCTAAAGCTGAGAATAAAGTAATGATGTTAGACAGCTTCCAGAAACCAGCTTTTAAGAATGCCATTTTGATTCAGTCCTTTCAAAGAAATAAACTATACTTTCAAATCTAGTTTATGTTAGTCTTTGACTGTATGTGCCTTTTTTTAACTCTCAACAGCAGAACTGACAAGTTCCCCCCCGCCTTCCTGATTTTTTTTTTCTTGTAAGCATTTTTTTTTTAGTTATGTTGTTTAAAATGCAATGTTGGCAATGAGATATTGCTAGAGGCTTTGGACTGATGCCTTCTGAAGCTTCCACTTTTCCTAACTTTTACTAGCAATAAAGAATTTGTTTTAGAAACATGTAATTTAAATTATAAAATTACCCCAAAAACATAAATGGAATTTAATTGGTTACAAAGTAATATTTTCACATAATCAAGGGATTGTTTAGGGGATTTAAGGCATAATTTATTAGTTCTGGATAAGGTACATATTTTGATTCCTACAGGCAAATAACAAACTGATTAGTAAGTGTAATAAAGCAATTTATTTGTCTAAAAATTGGCAGCTAGGAGTGCAATAACTTACTTGATCAATTGCCATTTTAAAGAACATTAAAGCTTCTCATAATTATGCTATCTATATGGTATGCAGACGAACAACAATACAGCATTACCCCTATTACACTAGTGATTTAATATGATGTTTCTGCCAGGTTTTGTACCTTTCTACATAATGCAAAAGGAAGTAATTACTTTTTGTACTGAAAGATTGAAGAACTTGCTCTCTTTTAGATATGCAAAGAATTTGACTATAGGAAGAACTAAAGATAATAGCTTCTCTCCATCAAATTTTTTTCTGATATTCAAAACCATGAATGTCAGTTTTGAGAAAGAGTCTTAGCTTTCCAGTCATTTAATTCTTCAGAATTCTGTAGTTGTCAAGTGAAGATAGACATGCATCAAAAGAAATGCGGCCGGCAGGTCAAGGGAGATGATTCTGCCCCTCTACTCTGCTCTGGTGAGACCCCGCCTGGAGTACTGCATCCAGGTCTGGGGCCCCCAGTGTACAAATGACATGGACCTGTTAGAGCGCATCCAGAAGAGGGCCACAAAAATGATCAGGGGGCTGGAGCACCCCTCCTGTGGGGGACAGGCTGAGAGAGCTGGGGTTATTCAGCCTGGAGAAAAGAAGGCTCGCGGGAGACCTTATTGCAGCCTTTCAATACTTAGAGAGGGCCTACAGGAAAGTTGGGGACAAACTTTTTAGCAGGGCCTGTTACAACAGGACAAGGGGTACTGGTTTTAAACTAAGAGAGTGTACACCTAGACTAAATACAAGGAAGACTTTTTTTTTTTTTTTTACAATGAGGGTGGAGAGACACTGGAACAGGGTGCCCAGAGAGGTGGTAGGTGCCCCATCCCTGGAAACATCCAAGGGCAGGTTGGATAGGGCTGTGAGCAACCTGATCTAGTTGAAGATGTCACTGCTCATTGCAGGGGGGTTGGACTAGATGACCTTTAAAGGTCCCTTCCAACCCAAACTATTCTATGATTCTACCCCTCTCTGGCAGGAAGCTTTTCCAATTTGTCACATAAAATAAAGCTCTTCTCATGTTCTTTAATTCAGTTACTTTGTCAGGTAACATCAACAGCTAACAGCTTTTGGAGTCTAGTTCTCTGATGGCCTAACCTCACTGAATTCAGTGGACCTAAGCCAACACAGGAAACCACTGCAGAGCCAATAAATACCACGCACATTTAAGACAGACATTATACAATGGAAAAGACTGTGACAAATGTATAAAATCACCTTTTTGAGATCCAATGTTACTTCAGCGATCTAGGTAAGGAAATATGTACCTGTCAGAAGTTCAAATGAACTAGAGGACACTGCCTTGAGAAGGTCAATGGAGACTGTTTTAGTTCTCTACTGTTTGTTATGGTTTGAGAAACCCTTAACAATTTATTGTTGTTTAGACAATCATTCTATCACCTGATGACCCCTCCTCATCTGGGAAAGAGAATCAGGAAAAAACCAAAGAAACCTGGGAGCTGAAGTATAAACAGATTTAATAGAGTAAGATTACATAATTAACATTAATAGCACTAAAGAACCAATATTGATCCCGATACTAATACAGAATATGCAAAGATTATACTCAGCCAATTCTATCAGTAGGAAGCTGTGCACTCCCAGTAGCGGACAGCAAATATCGGACACTGTGAGAGGTACAGCTTTGGTAGGAAGGGAAGGCCTCAGGAATCTGACACTGAGGCATGAAATTCTCAGGATGGCAGCCATCAAGGAAGAGAGAAAACTTCACAGCAAACTTTCTAATTTATAGTGAATGTGACGTTGATGGTATGAAATAATCCTGTTGGCCAGCTTGGGTCAAGTGCTCAGGTCTTGCTCCTCCTCATCCCTGCACCTGGCAAGCCCGAAAACACCGAGACTTTGAAACCCACACACCATAGCCGGCTACAAAGTAAGTATTTTCAGAAATTCAGACACTAGAGTCTTCTAAAAGTGCAGTCCTCCCAAGTATTAGAAGAGAAATTAGCTCTGTGTCGCTCAAATCAGGACACTGTTTTAATGAAAAATGTCTTACACTCAATTAAAAGATAACCAGGAAAAAAAAATACATTAAAATCACACAAGTTTCAAGAAAAAGTGAACAAGTTAAAAAACTTAAACATAAACATGAAGACAAATGAGATATACTATAACATGCAAAGAAACCTAAACACAAACACACACACAAAAAATTATTCTCATTTCAACTCAACAACAGTACAATTAACTCCATTCTTCTATTATTCTCAAAGAATCTCCTTTAAAACAGATTTAAAAAGAGGATCTAGTTTAAACTCTTTGGCAGAGAATCAATTCAGGAAAGCTATTTTGTGCTATTTGAGAAAGGTCAAAAACGTTGAAATTCTAACAGAATTTAAGTTTTAATGACTGGAAACCTGTTACGTATCACTGAAAACTATAGAGCATAGTTTCCATTTTATTATCATTTCTCATTAAGCCAGTCTACAAAGTACAGGCCTACTGGTAAGAAGCTCAATATATTTAGATTTTTAACAATGTTCTGAGAGACCTTACACAATTTAATTTTCATAATAAATATTTTAACAAGTCATACATTCCCCTTCTACACTATGAGCTTTCAAAAAAAGGTGGAGAAGTGCTAAGGAAATACCACAATTCATTCTTTGGACTCTTTATTCCATTGTCAAAGATGTGAATCATCTGCCATTTAGCTTATCTTTTACCTCATTTCCCGAAAAAGACAAGCAGTGGTAGGTTTTCCTAGCTTTCTAATACCAAAACAATCTGCTGCCACTAATGACTTCTACCTCAAATCATCTCCTATCCTAGCGTTCTACTGTCTTATTAATGGAGAACTGAAATGCAAGGTAAAGATAGCAAATGGTACCAACAAGCCTGTGGTTGTCGTGATTTCTTACCTCTATCTTAGCCAGTTTATCCACCAGTTCCTCTTGTTCCTAGTGCATGCTTTAAACAACTCGAGCATTCTACTTGCATAACACAACTTCTACCAACCTTGCCGCTTCACATATCACTTACTTTCTCATAAACCTTTCTGGTTCCTGTGAATATCCCCAGTCCTCAAATGCAGTGATGACTAGGAGGATCTCCAACCTATGGTTGGAGGCTCCCCGCTTCCCCTTTTTCTCCAGCTGTTTGCAATGCTTACAGATTCTAGAAAAAAACAGCATTAATACAGAGAATCTCTCTAGACACCTTATTCAGGATTTGCATATAAGTTTGAGATGAAAACACAAAGTTTGCGAGTCAACCAATGCCGTACTCTCTTTGGCTATTATTATTAATCACTAACTGAACTACTCTAGCATTAGGTGAGAATTCCACAGGGGAAAAAAAGGTAAACTATCATTATGTAATCTACCTTTCAACTAACAAATTGCTGATTAATTAAATGTCTTACTGATAGTCTCTATGGCAATAATTATTCCCTGTAGCAAATAACGCCTGCAGCATTTAAAAATGTCTCCTTCCCCTATCTGACCTCTCTGCATAACAGGGATTCTGAATCTGTTCTACTTAAAAATCAACATAATGCAGTAACACAAATGCTAGAAAACTCCTTATTTATCAATCATGATTTTACACAGTACAGTATAAAGAACATTGCAGAGTTGCATTGCTGTATAGTACATACCCCATGTTCTTTAGCAGCCATAACTACTTTTGAAAGAATATCTTCTTCAACAAATGGCCTCACAGCATCATGGATAATCACCACTTCTGGTTTCTGGAGCAGGTGGTTGGAAAATTCATTCTCTACAAATACTTTCAGTCCATTGAAAATTGAACGGTGACGAGTTATTCCACCTTTAACTATCATAACTCTTTTGTGGCCATATTTCTCAATGATAGACTTCATTGTTTCAATATTTTCAGGAGACACCACCACAATAATGTCAGATATCCAACCTACCCTAAAAGAAACAGTACAAAAACAGAGAAAGTAGACATGAATGTCCAAATAAAAGTACAGATCTCTCCATAAAACAAAGAAATTTGTATCAAAAGAAATTCGAGACGGCTAACAAAGCATCTCTCAATATACTCAAGTCTATGTCTTTGTGCGTGTATTAGTGCTCCAGCCCTAAAAGGGAGCTACATGAGAGGATCTCTACTGATTCACGGATGTCAACCAAAGCAACTGGAATTTTTGGGAAGTGACTTGCTTCCAACAACCAGTTTGGGGGAGGGGGGGAAGCACCTTCTGATAACCTTTTCAAAAATCTTCAAAACATTTCTTACTCCAGCCTCGTTCCTACCTTGAAACATAACTTCTAAATCAGCTACAGTCTGTTATTGTAGCTTTCTCTAAATTCAGTCTCCAATAAATTGGTAAATCCTGGGGTACCTGGAATACTCCATGTGCTACTCTGCAGTACGCTGTGTACAAGTGAGTAAGAGGATCAAGAAAAACTCTGAACAAAGATCACTGTCAATACAAGCATGAGCAGTAATTGACAGATTGCTAATGAATCAGAACTGTGACACTTGAACATTGACAAAAAACATTATACTGGCAGTTTGCAAACAATAAAAATAATACACACACACACACAAAAGTTTCTGCTCTGGGGAGCTAGCAAAATGTAAAGCATAGCATACTTCTAGGGAAATTCAAGCTTCTACTGTTAGTATCAGCCTAGCTCTACAATTGCAGGGTAGTGTTGGGGGAGAATGACCCACAACCCACACGATTAAAACCAGCCATAACTGAAGTTAGGCTAAAGTCATACTTGTGTCAAAGGACCTAGGAATACGAATTATAGTCACATGTGCCATACTGTACTTCAAAATAACAGCAATACCATAATTCAAATCCAGCTATTTGAGTGTCTTATTTTCTAAATGCAATGTAGAGAGCATAAAAAAAAAAGGATTTTAAAATGTTTTGTTTCCTTTCTGTGTCTCCACAGATGACAGTAGGGTTTTTTAGAGTGACAGAGAAGAAACTCATCAGATGAACAATGATTACAAAAACAATTTACTATTTACGATAGTAAAATCACTCATTTGTAGCCTACACATCCAACCAAGAAGGAAGAGAAACAAGTACAGTATGTTCTTTCTACTAAAACCAGTAAAGCTATTGAAATTAATTTCGCAGACACGAGACAGACTAAGATACTGAATACTTCCAGTTAAAAAAAGAAGAGTAAGAAATTTACAGTTCAGAAATATACAGGCTCAAGCTACTGGTTTCTGCAATAACACATGAGAAGGCATTGCCTAGGAAACACGCTTACTCCAAAAGCGAAGTCATCTGTGACACAAACCACCCCCCTAGAAATATGTGAAACAACAGAGCATCCTCCACCTTCTGTATGTTGTGGGGGTTTTTGTAATTAATAGAACTCCACGGAAATTATTTCAATGAATTTTAAAAAATTATTAAAAATAAAACAAGTGGAAGGGCTATTAGAACTCTTCAAAGAAAAATATTTGTCCTTATGTTCATTTTATTATTAACAAAGGCAGAAAATACAGCCAAACCAACATATTCTCAGCATTTTTTAAGTATTGAATTTGTTCAGACATAAAATCTGAAGTCATATGGTTTCAAGTTTCATTTCGACTTGTCACTCACCACAGGTTCATCAAAAGGTTTTCAAATCTCTCAAATGAGTCCTGGCATAGTCTTACGTCTAACCACAAAACTTAGCACCTTTGCATGACTTAAACTCAGAACTAGGGCAAACTAATTGGATTCATCTCAGTTCTTCTTTTGAATATTGAGAGTCAGTCATTTAAATAATGCAAAATTCAAGAAGAGGTATTTCACACTAAACAGAAAGACTACAACCTTGCACAGTTCCCAGAAACAGTGGACAGATGCAGTCACTAGTGAATGTGCAGAAAGAACAACACTGACATTTCCCATTGTGGAGTCAAATGAAACAGATTATGAGGCAACTGGGTAGTACACAGCATCTTCTGAGAAGGGAAGAGAACAGAAGTACTGGCCAGCCTATGATAAATCTCTGCACTGCAGGGGGGTAGAATGGCTCAAGGCCTCCAGTGGTACAATACACCGAAAAGTGACAGGATGCGGTCACAGCTCCACCCTGTGTCTGGATAAACACATTTATAAACTCGAGTATGTCCTCCTTAAACTCATTCTGGGCTAATGTTCTATAATTAGACCTGGGATTTAGAGATGCAACCTATTCATATAAGAGTATAAAGATGATTAGATACAGGAACAGCTTAGGCTTTGAAGTCTAGCATGTCCCATAAAAACTGATTTACAAAACTCATGAAAAGTACTAACTCAGAAAAGTATGCTACAAATTCTCATGAATGAGAACTGTGCACAACACAGGTGCTTACTCTTTTAAAGATCTGCTTATGGAAATGTTGCAAAGTGTTTTAATGAAGTAGGAATATATTAGTATACACTCTGGCAGTAAATAGATTTTTTTTTTCCCCTCTCAATTTGTCACACCTTTGTCTTCAGAGAGATTTCATACTAAAATAATAAAAGGCTCAGGACCTGCTCAAAGCCAGTTTCAAAATAGTAAACACCTTTTTCATCTTATAACTGTAATATTAGATCAAGATAATGCAAGCTTCAGAAAGAATCAGCACAAGGCATTAAAAAGATCAGAATACTGTACCCCAACGTGCTCTAAGCAGCACTAAATAGAGAACCTCTACTGCTTCCATACAACATAGGCTGTAGTTCTAAAGTGGAAAATCAGGTCTGATCAAATGAAACTACAGCAACAACCCCAGTTATAATTACTTTACAATTGCCTTAGGAAGACTTCAGTATTAGTAGAAGGAGAACAATCAGGCAGAAAAGGGCTCTATGTTTATCTCCTGTGACTGTCCTTCTCCTCGGCACCTACAGACAGACCAGCTGCCAAGTAGAAAATAGCATTGTTTCATTAAATTTCAAACAAAAGTACATTTATATTAGCTGAGCCAGGACTCAAAGTAAAGGAGTTCATTAACTCAGCAACAGATTAAGCTATTACATGACTTCACAACACGGACTGCAGGGGAAATGAAATAATCAATGAGTTATGCTCTGAGACTGTATCACCTAAATGGCATGCTGAGGTTCAGATGTGACTGAGGTTTAACCCTCTTTCAGTTCACTCACATACAAATCAGTGCTTAGCCTTAAATCCTCACACTCAGTTTCTTGCAACTCTTACTCAGAACAGTAAGAACCTATTTAACATATAACCTACTGAAACTGGCAGTTGTATCAGCAAAAGAAGGCCAGAACCAGGCAGTCACTGCTGAGATGGCTTTAGTGGTGTAAGATACGATCTTTCCCTGCCACAGAAACTCTTCAGAGGTACAAGATAAAGAATTATATTACTTTTAATGATCTTATTATTCAAGCATCAAATAAGGAAAAGAACTGTCAAGAACAACATTCATTTGCAGAATGCAAGTATAACTTCCTTTTGCTCAGTAACAGCTTTGCTAGGACTTTATTAATATATGAAAAAATATATGAATACATATGTAACTTTTACAGTACAAAAATGGAAGCAGGGAGCTTTCAAGTCTGAAAAGTTTCACAGGTACATTAAGGAAGTTTTGAGCATCTCATGTACAGAAGACATCTATGTTTTCCTGAAAGAAAATGTTCCTTCTTAGTCAGACAAGATAACGAAGATAACTTCATAAAGTTAAAACAACTGGACTGCTTGATATGATTATTTTTAGCTCATAAGCAATTTCAAGAATAAGCTAATGATAACTGGACCAAAAGAGCTATACAGTATATACATTGAACAAAACTGTAATTGTGTGACCTGTAGAGCCACTGAACATGCATCAGCCAACAGGGAAAAATACTTGGCAAATAAACTACAAAAGACAGTTCTGAAGAGGCGATTCTTTGGAAGCTACCCCCAGGTGATGGTTTTTCGGTATCAGGCCACCTGTTTTAAAGAGACTACATTACGGTAAACAAAGTAAACAAAGCTGTCTGAAACCTTTATGGAAAAATTTTATTCTGCCAGTAAACGTATTAACTCTGCTTTCCTCTTTCATAACTTCTCACTGTACTTTCAACAACTGGTGAAATATGAGCACAGCAAGAATACCAGCGGCTCATTTGTGCCACAGTGATTTTAAAATGAAGCTTTACCTTAGTCTGTTTTCCTCTCTATAGCTTTAGTAAAATGTGTGTACATGTGCACATGAGATTCCTCCCTGTCTCAGAAAAGGAACTGGAAAGGTTCTATTCTAAACAAACATACACAAAAAAAGAAGAACCCTACTAGCTTGCACAGAAGCAAGAAAGATAAATGCCATTCTAGCTCTGTTGAACTTAATGCAAAAGCCTTGCACAGTTCAGCAAAAGCAGAAACAAATCCAATGGGAAAAAGCAGACATATAAGTCCTGTAACACGCTTTTTACCCCCAAGGTAGGACATGACCTTCCTATCAGCACCACTGTGTTCGCAATAAAAACCAATCATTTCTCCTCACCCTATTTTTTTTCTCACCTCCTCTTCCTAAGGGCATCATCTTTGATTATTATTGGCAGGCCAACGTTCTACATGCTGTCATCCTAAGCAACAGAATGCACTGCTTATTCATTCATGCCTGCTCTTGTCTTGTCTGCCATCAATACTTAAGATTCTCGCTACTTTCAGCTGAACAGTATAAAAATCTTTTTCTTCTGACTTTCAAAAAGCACATGCAAAGCACCCGCAAATTCTTGATTTGCTCATGTATTTCTGTCTATATGTTGCTATGTTTTTTCCAGATTAAAAAAGCTCAAAATAAAAAAGCTCAAAAATAGTTGCAGTAGCTGAGATAATCAGTTCAGTAGAAGTTATTACAGGCTAATGAGTCAATGATTCATTCAACTACAGCAGGTAAACAATAGACAAAAGATAGTATCAAGCTAAACACAGAAAAACTGCCACTTCT